CATGTGCATTGGCATGTAGATGCAGAGAAGTTATATTCCTCATATCAATCAGAGTTGATCTATCTTACTTGTATTGAGTTTAACTGTTGAATTTGAAAGCATGTCTACATTTCTGCACTGTTATTTTATATTGAATTGTACCTGTTGAGTTCGTCACTACTTTCAGTCTAAAGGTTAGACTTGTTACTTATTGAGTTGGTTGTACTCACGCTACACCCTGCACCTCGTGTGCAGATCCAGGTGCTTGCGGTCACGGCAGTTGCTGAGTTGCGGAGTCTGGATTTTCGGAGATCATCGAGGTAGCTGTTTGGAGTCCGCAGACCTTGACGCTCCTGCCTTATCTTCATTTTATGTTTCATTTTTATTCTCTAGAAGTTGTATTAGACTATATCCCAATGTAGATGCTCATGTACTCGGTGACGCCCCGGTTTTGGGAGAGATTTTGTATTGAGTTGTGATTTCTTATTCTGTTTATAAAAGGTTTTCCTTAAATTTAACTGCTTCCGTATCTTTCAAAGCTTAAAGTGTTGGGAGTGCTGAGTAGTCAGCTTGCCTAGTTCTATGATAGGCGCCATCACGATGGTTGGTTTGAATCGTGACAATTAAGAACATAAGTATTTCTTAATCCGCTATTGTGAGAAACTTGGGTGTCTTAGTTCCAAAACAAGTAAAATAACAACCATGAACATGAACAAACTAAGTTGCGTCTCTTATTCATGGATTTTTCTAATCATGCACCTGTTTCATTTTTCCACTTTTTGCGATTCGCTTTATTTGCTCTCCAGAGAGGAAAAGGATATTTTATTTATTGGCTTTAGATATATACAGCAGTGTAGTATTTTGCTAGTTTGGTTAATGTAGTCGGAGACGAATTCAGGATTTAAATTCTATGTGTTCAAATTTTAAGATTATTAACATTAAATTTGTTATATTAATAGTTATGAGTTCATATCTACTATTTTTGCAATTTTAATAAATACTTATACATTAATTTATACTCCGCATCTAAAGCTATAGGTTCAATTGAAACCGTCACCTCGGAATGTAGCAAGAAAATGAAAACAATAGAAGTTATGTCCATCAAATATTTATTGAATACTTACATATGCAAGGATAAGTATCTCCAATTATCTCTTCTCTTTTCCAGATCTATTTAAACTCTCACTAATTTGCTTAATGCCATAAATGCCGATACCGTGTTGTTTGTTACTCCCTCTGATCATTTTTATTTGTTATGTTTGACTTTTGCATGTCTCTTAAACAAATATTAAGAGCATATTTAAAAAGCCACCTATTTGTGTGTAATTGAATATAATTATACAATTTGACATATTTGTCTGATTAAGTATTTTGTCGGCATGATATTAATTGTAATTAAAAGGGCCAATTCTCAAGAGATCTGAGAATTAGTAGTAGTTACACTAAGTAACTACAAGCTACTCCCCCCGGTCCAAAATAAGTGATTTTTTGGCATTTTTTTAATGGTCCAAAATAAGTGATTTTTCCAGATTTCAAGAATGAATTAATTATTTTTTCCTACATTGTCCTTGGAGTAAATAGTGTTGGAATATGTGTTAAGAATGTTTATGTGAGATAGTAAAGGTTAATATGGTCAATTCTATTGCTAATTAATGCAAAAAGGTGGATTTCTTAATCTGTGTGAAAACATCCAAAAAATCACTTATTTTGGACCGGAGGGAGTAATATATTATTGTGGGATGAGCTTCTTGGAAGGTGTTCCCTAATCATGCTAAAGTTAAATAGTTTCCTAAAAGAAAAATGAGTTACTTTTTTAATACAGTGTATAGTTATTAAAGAAGGAATCGAGGGTTCGGTTCCCTACTTTGATTTTGTTTATGGTGATATATAGCCTGTTTGGCCAAAACTATTTTTTTTCTTCAGAAAAAGTATTTTTTTTTTTTTTTTTTTAAGTTGAAGTGTTTGGCCAAGCTTTTAGAAAGAAAAAAAAGTGTTTTTGAGTAAAAGCAGAAGCAATTTTGGAGAAGCAGAAAAATATAGCTTCCCTCCAAAAGCACTTTTTTAAAAAGCACGTTCGAAAAAAATACACTTTGAAACACTTTTTAAAAGCTTGGCCAACCACTAATCGCGGCTCAAAAGTGTTTTTCAACTTAATTTGTCAAATACAAAGTGCTTATCACCATAAGTACTTCTGAGAAAAGCACTTCTCCAAATAAGTTGATTTTAAATGCTTGGCTACCATGCTAATAATCTGTTTAAGAAGAGGAAGCCTAGTCCCTATAAATCAGTCGCATGCAAAGAGCCCGACGAGGAGGAGTATAAAGTTTTGACAAAAACTGGCATTAGGTTAAATGAGAACGTCCAAAACCACCAAAGGATGTGGTGCAGTTGATGTGACTGCTCTTCACTTAACCAGATATCACAGGTCGAGTTTGAGTATGAAAAATTCTTGGTAGGAAGCACTTCCCCCTCCCCCACCCCACCCCACCCCCACCCCCTAATGGGGCCCTACCCAGCGCAAATCCGGATATAGTCGGGCTCCAATGCGTGTACCGACACCGGTGAGAAACCAAAAAAAAAAAAAGGGTCCACAAGGTTGCCCCATGAATTTTTTTTCTTTTTTCTTTCAAATATTTTTAGAAGAATTATGGTTCGCCTTTAAAACAAGCGGAGGACTGAGATAGAGAAAACTACCCTCTATAGCCACTCAAAATTTTAATAGCCCATGTTTTGTCCTACTTACAAAAAATGGCCCTTCGGCCCAAACGTATTGCATATAGTAGCCGAAAGGAATAAGCATGACAACATACGCGCCTGTAGCTCAGTGGTTGGAGCGCCTGTTTCATAAGCTGGAGGTCGCAGGTTCGACCCTCACCTGGCGCGATAGAGCAACCATTTTTTGCATTTTTAAATGTACTTCTTGATCTGATAAGTATTAGCTAACAATTGTATATTATGTGTATTTTCTAATATGTAAACATAGTGTATATGCAATTTTGTATGTGTAATGTGTGCACACTATGTATTTGGAGTGTATCATGTATCAAAATTGTATATAACGTGTATTTTCTAATATGTAAACATAGTGTATATAAATTATATATAATTTTGTATGTGTAATGTGTGCACACTGTGTATTTGGAGTGTATCATATATCAAAATTGTGTATAATGTATATTTTCTAATATGTAAACATAGTGTATATAAATTATGGTATACAATTTTGCATGTGTAATGTGTGCAGACTGTGTATTTGGAGTGTATCATGTATTTTTGTATAGTGACAGTCTTTTTTTATATATTTTGTATAGTTACATCTATTTTGTATATTATTTGTATAGTGACAGTATATTTTATATATTTTTTGTATAGTGACAGTCTATTTTGTATATTTTTTGTATAATGACAGTCTATTTTTGTATATGTTTTGTATTTTGTATAGTGATAGAATTTGTATATATTTTGTATAATGACGGTCTAGTGTATATAAATTGTATAGTGGCGATCTATTTAGTATATTTTTGTATAAGGACAGTCTATTTTGTATTAGTAACGGTCTATTGTATATAAATTGTATATTGATAGTCTATTTTGTATATTTTTTGTATAATGACAATCTATGTTGTATATTTTTTGTATAGTAACAGTCTATTTAGTATATTTTTTGTATAATGATAATTTATTTTTGTATAGTGACAGTCCATTGTATATAAATTGTACAGTAACAGTCTATTTAGCCATCTTCATTGCAGGGCAGCCGTCCTATCGTTACAGGAAACCAACTGGAAGTCCCTTAACAGCAATGGTACAAGTGCTTGTAGCTGCAATTAGAAAAAGAAATATTCCACTTCCTTCAAATCCTTCTCATTTACATGAAGTTCCCAAGTCAGAAACTACCCAAAGGAGGCTCTTAGGCCACACCAAAAGCCTGAAGTAAGATTCGAAACTTAGTCATGATTAGGTTATGCAATTACTCAGGAAAGGTGGAATATAGTATTCAAAACAATTTATGATTTTACTTTACAGGTTCCTTGATAAATCTGCAATCCTAGATGGCACACAAGATTTAATAGAGCAGCAGCACAATCCATTGAAACTTACAACTGTGACTAAGGTGGAAGAACTGAAGATAATTATCAATATGATTCCTATTTGGCTAACCACTTTACTGTTTGGTATATGAGAATAGAGAGTGACAAGATTTTAGGAGTGAAACCAGTGAATGGTTTTCTATTAGTGGATTCAAAAACATAATAAAGGTAAATAAATAGGAAGAAGGAGAGAAGGAAGGCCATCAGATTGAACCCCAAATATAAACCCAACGACTTGCACCTTTGTAAAAACATAAAAAGGGACGCTTTATCTTGGATGGAAGAACCGAACTTTATCGTGAAATTGAAATCAAAACCCAGTCAGTCTAACCCGCTGTGCTCGATCTCGTTGGCTTTAGATCTGGACGGAAACTCAAACACCGGCGACCCTCCATTAAATCCGGCGACTCTTTCTTCTCGTTTTATTTACTGTTTTGGTGATTTTGATATTATAAAAATCTAGATCTGAAAGATGGTTTGCTTGCTAATTTGAATTTCAGCAGATCTGGCCGGTATATAGCTTTTCCGACTACCGTGAAATTTTCCGGCTAAATCATTTCGGGCCAAAAATTATTTCTCCAATGAACCTGTGTTTGTTTGTGTATCCATTTTTTTTACAGAGCTTGTGGGTCAGATATATAGTTCAGTGGCTAGCCTCTAGAATTACTTTTGGGCTATAAAATGCATATTGTAATTTTGGGCTACCGGTTGATATTAGTTTTGCCCGATGGGCTATAAATCAAGTTCTCTCACTGAGATACAACAACCACGTTAAAATGATTTTAGAGAACTTAAATCATAGGTGAATCTACCAACATCTTATCTTATGGATTCAATATTTGATGAATCCATAAGATAAGAAAATGCTAATCCTTTGGCGACATTTCTTGGACAAACAGATTGAATAGAAAGCTCTTTGAATACAGTGGCTTGAAAGTTCAGAAATAGAAGATTGAAGAGTTCAATCATATATGTTATCAATGATCTGCAACAGCACCCACATTCTCCACACAAAAATACAGAATCCCTATAATTAAATCCGACAATTTCTTGCACTAAGCGAACTACAATGAACCAAGATTATCAAATCATCTAAGAGATCATTCTACATAAGAAGAATCACTAGTATTTTCCAAGAAAACCTCTATTCAGTGGTCTCGTCTATGAGCGCATATATATAATAATCATGAGATCAACTAAACCATTACTAACTAGAGTACTTTCAATTCATCGGCCAAAAACAGATTACTGCTTCATGACCAGCCAGAGAGTTGATGTAGCAACCTATAGAACTTCCAAGACGCGTCTAATTGAACTGAATAGGTAGAATTTCTCATCAAATCATGACTGCTCTATTAAAGAGTGCAATTTTTGCCGAAAGGTAGGGATTTTGCTCGCGTCTACTGCCATTACCAAGCCAGTTAGCCTGTAATCTTTTAGCTGCAATATCAGGAGAGGAATAAGTGTTTCATTCCCACACACAATAATCAGATAGCAAGTACTAATAGAGAGTTATCTCAAGAACAATAATACTAATATAACATGAAGCGTGTATAAAGAATTGATAGAAGAAGTAACAGGAATGACAACAACACCAACAACAACAACAACAAACTAAGTATGTTCCCAACAGGTGGGGTCTGGGGAGGGTAGTTTGTACGCAGACCTTACCCCTACCTAATGTAGGTAGAAAGGCTGTTTCCAAGTAACAGGAATGAGAACATTAAAATTGAAATATCAAGTATCACTGGGTATGTTGTTGTTGTATATGATACTCCACAAAAGTTATCATAGTACAACCAAAAAGCCAATGCATGGCACACATGGTCTCTCAATAAATAGTTAAACAATAGTACATTTTTACAGTTCCAGGCTATGGCTTTTGAGCACCGAAAAGATGGCGAAATGATTACAGCAAAGTCCAAACTATCGTTCTCAGAAAGAGAATAATACAGAGATGCAGTAGAACATTCAATTTATCCAGCCTCTATCCCAATTGGATGATACTAGAATATATACAAGTGACATATATCATTGGTGAATTCTTTGTATTTTCTCCATTATACAGAATTTAAGGAGTTGCAGGAAATCAACATATATAGACTATAATATAAACCGCCATTATAAATACATAAAAGCTTTCATTTTATGAGAAAAACACTTGCCTCGTCAGTCCTAACCAGCTGTGTATGCAAAGGAAAACTGAAGGACCAAGAGCTTAACTGAAGAAGCATTTAAAGAAAAGAGTCAAGAGACGTTGCAGCAAAAAGGCAAAATAAATAAATAAATAAATAAATAATTAATAATAATAAATGCTGGTACCTCTTGAAAGATTTCGTCTTCTGCCTTAATGTATACAATAGTTTGATCACCACTTGGCCCATTTTGCTTGCCCGCATTCTTATGCTATAAGAAAATCCATAAAGCAGCAGACAGTTCAAAGTCTGCTAGACTGTAATAAAATCATACTCAACCAAAAAGGTGCTCATTACCTTGTAAATTTTACTGATTACCAGGTAAAACTTGAAGGAGAAAGAACTCCGAAGCTCCTCTGTAGGCTTAAAAAGACATAAGAATGACAAAGTTTCACTACAAGAAGGTAAAGCTACATTCACGAGAGGAGAAACGACAGACGCAAAAGTCAAACCAAATGAGCATGTGAAATTAATTCAAGCTCATCCATCTAATATTCTCTCATCTAACCTCATCTTCTGTAGCCCAAGAGACTTCATCAAAAAGTGCATCATAAAGGTGTGGCAAAAGCTGGGGAGGAAGATTCACAACACGCTGAGAGACCAATAGACCAACATCCTCGGCTTGGTCTCCGAGAAATAAGCTCAATTTAGAGTAAACATCCTTCTGGTGGCATGCATTGAGCAGGAACTTTTTCAGGTCCGCTATGCACTCTAGATCCTATTTTAGACAATCATAGCCAGATAAACAGTAAATATGCAAGAACTGAAGGAGTAAAATACTAACAGCGTTAAGAAATCCCGTACTGAGCTATGAGCATTTAGCACTGGAAAACAATAAGGGAACTTGGGAGTTTCTACAAACTTAGATGCCAAATTTGACATCACAGGCCGGGTGGACGTGGTGACAAGTTTTATAGTGCAGCATGGATGTAGGACATTTTAAGTGTCAGTTTCTTACCTTATACCTCCCCAAGTTAAGAGCCGTGATGATGGAGTAAATACCATCATCTTCATCATTCTCTATTTTAACAACAGTTCCAACTGTGGGTTGACCGAGTATTACATCCACAAAACCACTCAAATCCCATTGCTTATTATCAAGGTAGGTCTGCAGCAGGATTTTCACTCCATGGAAATCACTAGGTTTTGGATCAAAGAACTCAAAATCTGCTTGAAAAGTGCCCTATCAAAATCGAAGGAGAAGCTGTTAATGTACTAACATCACATACTAATAATCACTTAACAGCAATGAGTAATGGGAGGTCTTACATCAGACTCTTCATCATCCGAAGAACCAGAATTGTCACTCTTGTCTACAAGACGGCGTTTTTCCATTCTTTTACCTAGAAGGAAACACTCGGCTTCAGAACAAGCAAGAAATATAACCATCAAACTAGAAAATGAAATGGACCACTGCTCAAAAAAATTCATGAGATAGAAACTACACAATATATACAACAATTTAATCAAATACACTTCACCTGAAGAGCTAGGTAGATTACTTTCTGGAAATCTGGAGTTGGGAACCTTGTGTGTAACCTTGTTATTTGAAGCAATCCGCGCCACTGAACGAGCAAATGGGGAGAAACTAAGAGGTAGACATCGTGCTGATCTGCAATGTCTTGCCGGTTTCCGGGGCATTATACCAATTATGTGAACCTGAATACATAAGTTAGCTTCTTTTTTATTACTTGTCTGTAAAATATCGTTGATAATAAGCCTCGAAAAGTTGAACATATTATGCAGCACTTAAAATAATCTTCAGAAAAAGCAGATGACTCCTTTAGGTTTCAAAGATTTTATAGATGGCACAGTAAATGGACATTATAATCAACCTTACAACTAGTTGTGGCAATAAGCCTTTCTCATACTATTCACTGATATCAGTTCAAAAAGACTTGACTAATTGTCTGGGAAAAAAGTATTATCTTGAGGTTCATTCCCCTCTCTTTTTCTATGGTATCTTCGTAAAAAGATATTCTATTAGTAACACTTGCACGACTGTTTCTTCTTCCTTTCGTATATGATATCCAAAAAGGTTCCAAACTAATCACATCAGTTTTATATTTACTTTGTGTGCTCTTCATGTGTATTAGATATAGCTTAGTAACAACTCAATTTCACTTTATTTTTAAAGAAAAAACCGTCCACATTCTCGATACACTGCTATTCCTGTCTTCCTGTTCAAATCTTGGCAAGAATAGCTAAACATACTAAAGGGCAGCCCGGGGCACAATAGCTAAACATACTAAAATCTTCAAATGCAAATACCTTAGAATCTCTAAAGGCTATATGGCTACAGGACCCTGCGGAAAAAATAAGAAAACAACAACAAAGAGAAGCAAAAGAAGATCTTCACTTAATCGCCAATTCCCTCCTCCCTGGCATCAACCATTATCCCCAAATAGTTAAACCCAACCAAATAAGTTAACCATTATGTGTCGGGTATAGCCCTATTTCTATTTGTCTCTTTTCTCTCCCATCCTACATCATCTCTGTCACATTAACTGCACCATCACTCGCAAATATGCAATAAAAGATTGTTTTTCAGCAGGGTTATTGTGCCCGAAGACACAAGAATGCCACAAGAAAAGCACCCAAGAATGCAGCCCTGTAGCCAATGAAGTGGGAGGAAAACCATAAGGTCTCAGGTTCAAATCCCAACAAAGGAAAAAATTGCTAGGTGATTTCTTCCTATATGCCTAAGCCTCGGTGGGCAAAGTTACCCTGTTGGTGGGAGGTAGAAGTCATCCGGTGTAATGGTCCGAGGTGCCCGCAAGCAGGCTCGATCACCACCGTCATAAAAAAAATTAAAAAAAATAAAAATAAGAGATTGCACAAGAAAATACTGGAGCTTCAAAAATGAGGTGTATAAGTTAAATTTGCAAACTTTTACATGTCATTCATAATTCTAGCACTTTATAATGATAAATCCCCTTGTTATAAGTAAAGCAGCATTATTTAGCATAACAAGAAAGATGGTATAAGACCAATATATATTAACAACTCAGTTCCATCACCAAATGCAATAATACCCAGCAATGCAGAATCCAATTTCAGCAAAAGGGACAAAACCCAGCACTAAAATTTCAATTATTGGCAGAAAATAAATAATTTTAAGCATAAAGTTCCCTTCATAATAATTTTCAGTAGAAGAGAATCATACCCCAAAAAGAGAGTTGAGAGAAGGGTGGTAAGCGGCTTCCGGCGGAAGACAGCTCCGGCAATTGAGGGTCGTCGGAGGGGAAGAGCGGCGAGGTTTTTGTTTTGCTGATTGATGAGGTAGCGAGGGGGGCGGGGGTTTTAAGAGTCCCCAAGTTTTCAAATAAAGCAATTTTAGTCCCTTGATTTTGACTTTAATGTCCAAACTTTGGAAATTTTGAAAATGAAAATGCATAATTTTTTTTGTCCATCCTTCATTCTTAATTTCCCCCTTTTTACGGTGAGTAATTTCTCAGTATCTTTGCCGGACTAATCAATTCACCTTCCCTGGCTATTGTTACAAATTACAACCCTATAAATTTTCATAACCTTTTTATTTATTTTTTCTATAGTGCGGCCTTAGGAGTAACTTTATTCCTATTTTCATTGTTTTAAAAAGCTCAAATTTTAAAAGCTAGAGAAATAAAATGACTTTTAAATGAAGTTAAATATTTATAGAATAAATTTTTTTATAAATATTTAACTTTAATAATTAATAGTGTGAACATTGTTAAGAGGTTGTTTGGTAGTTCAAGTATTACTTGAGTCCAAAAATGATTAGTGGTTTAAATGAGAAATTACAATTAGACACTAATGATATTTAGTTACTCCCATTTGGAAAGTAATCATAAATCCATTATCTATATTATTCATTTGAAGACGAATCTGATTAAATTCCTAGAGTTGTCACGATGATGTATGTTGACATAATTTAAACTCATGACATAAAGCATACGAATTAATGTTCTTACCATACTTTCATTTGTACAATTTTCTTTTTTCTTGGAATCTTTTGGTTACAACAATAATATGCATATCTTTATTATCAAAATGATATGCACAAATCTCTTCATCTTAAAAGTGGTCCCTCTCAAAGAATTAGTAAGTCGTTAACACAAGTAAATCTAATAAATAGTATATATATCCTAAGTCTTGTTTATCAAAATCAAGTTTTCCGATCTCAATCTCCGTTACTGAAGAAGATTTAGTGATCGGACAAAGGTTGAAAAAATCTTAGATAAGCTTTATTTTCCTTCAACTTTAACTCTTAATTAATGGCATCTGGGAGTCAAGATCCTAAGCCAAAGTACGGACTTAAAGAGTAAGTTTTCACTTTCATTTTTCTTCATTTATGCTATTTATCCTAAGATATTATTGGGCTCACAATAATTTTTTCTTTTCTTTTCTTAATTAGTTGTAGGAGAGATAGTGGTTCACTTCGTCTTGAGAATGTACAAATCTTCTATCAAAATGAGCTACTACGTGAAAGGCTCAATCATGTAGTTTGCCCTCATTGTAGTCCAAAGTTATACGAAGAAATCATAGAAAAACAAATTGCGCTAGCAAAAATGCGCAAGGAGAATGCCGAAATGGAGAAATGGGTAAATTTCTATTAGAACATTTTTCTTCATTGAATTTTAGTGGTTGTAATAAATTAAAATTGTATGCTATATAGCTATAATTGAGTTTCAAATCTCTTTTGCAGATCAAGGTTTGGTCAGATATCATCAATTATCATTTGAAGAAAAACAACGTTAAAGGAAATGCTTTCCCGTAGAATCTTTTTGGGAATACATGTCATATGCTCGTAGTTTTATGGAGAAGGAAAATATTATATTATTACAATATTTCTAAAGTACAATGATTATAACTCCGTGAAGGATAAGTTATTATACTTTTATGAGTTACTCAATTATAGAAAAAAATTGTGATGACTTGGTACTATGGTTATTATTATTTTTGTCTACCCTCTTATCTCTTGTTAATTTAATTATTTGCTTTCATAATGGTAGCTAAAGAAGTATGTTTGCTATTTTTGTTTTTTTTCTAAAATTTGTTTTTTCTAAACTTTACTCTTCGACGATCCACATTACTTGTCTTAAAAAGGTGTACTTGAGTTTTGAAAGAATAGGACTAGATTGATAGAGCACATGACATTTTCTCATTAGCAATTTAGTTCAAAGCTAGTATCATGATAGCAAAAATTCTCAATCCATTCCATCCTCTCAGTCAAGCCAGATGCGAATGAAATAGCTGCTCCATTCCAACAAGATTATTCTCCTTTGATTCTATTTTGTGTGACACAAATTGATTAGATACGAAATTCAAAATATTAGTTTGACTAATATATTTACATATTCCATCAATTTCATTTTATGACTGTAATAGAAAGTTTAAAGTTTAAAGCTAAACTAAACATGTGTAATTCTTTTAAAAGTACGCAAAAAAAAAAAAAAAATGCTATGTAAAATGGAACAAAAAAAGTAAATGGCAGTAAAAGAAATATTGAAGTGATAGTTGGTGCTAGTGGTGGCAAAATGGTTAAAAGAAAACAGTTAACCACCCATATTATTCACTAAAAATGGGTTGAATAATGAATTTTTTAAAAAGAGGTCAAATATGGATACGAACCATATTATCCATTTAGAAAATGGGTAACCAATGGATAACTAATGGGTTTAACTTTTACATTTGTAAAGCTTCAAATTGGGGGTTCCTCAAGATTGGGAGACTAGGAATTCTCCCAAAAATGATCATATTCAAGAAGTCATGACCCATATTATCACTGATTAACCCATTTTTTATCTGTATTAAATATGGGTCGGGTCAAATTTTATCCGTTTTTTCATTACCTATTTTTTATCCGAACCATATCCGACCCCACCCGCTCATTTGCCACTCCTAGTCCAAAGCATAGTCCTTAAGACTAGAAAAATGACTGATTAGTGGGGAAAAAAATTACTCTACCATCGAGTCTTGGTCTCTTTAAAACATTAACAACTTGTTTGGATGATTGTTAGCTATTGTATTATATCGTATTGTTACTTTAAATATAATATTCGTTTTAATTATTACTTAAATTTTATTGTTTCACATCGTTAAATTTTTCGTTACGTAACGACGAAAGGTACTACTTTATGGAACGACCAATATGGTGTGGTTGCGTCGTTCTCGTGTTTTTTTCTCTCATCTTGTCCGTCCATATTATTAAATAATCCTACTTTCTCCTTTACCTTACCTTTTGTATAATAATTTTATCTCGTACCATACTTTTTTTTAATAATATTACAACTTTATTCTTCATATTGTTGGTGCTTGACATCATGAAATGACGAAAAACAATACAATATATCCAAACATTGTATACATCAAAACGATACAATACAATATCATATTATACGATACATTATGAAATAATACATAACAATCCTCCAAACAAGCTGTAAATTGTGATATGATTGATGTCATTCATATTTAGATCTTTCTACATCATTTTCTGACTTTATTTTGTCGCACAAAAATATCAATTATTCACCAATTATTTTGTCACATTACTTTTCTAAGTCCACTTTCACACCCAAAATTTTTGAGACATATTTAATTCATAAATCGATCTTCCTAATTAAAAAAAAAATAGTAAAATTAAAAACCCAAATTTAAACGTTCAAATTTTAATACTACAGAATTTTAACGGTAATAACATTAATAATAAAGCATCTTAACATGTGCAGAAATTTCATTTTTCTTACTTTTAAATTCTAATCAAAGAATCTAAATGTAAAAATAACTTAAGCGTTTACCAAAAGAAAAGAAAATTAAACAATGTCAGTAAAATAAAGATCCCAACATAATTTATTTGATCTTTTTCCAAACTTTTAATTAGTAGGTGGACTAAGAAAATAGGATAAGTATATGAATAGACCATAACGTAGAAATGTTGTTTTCGAGAGATCCTTTGCTCAAGAAAAGATAAAAAGAATCGTAATAGCAACAAGTAACAACGTAAGATAGTAAGAAAACTAAAGCAAAGAACATATATTAATAAAATTCTAAGAATATATAAATACAAGATTAACATCAATACACAAATATGAAAAAGAAAAATGCTCGATTACCTACGTAGAAGAGATCTTACCAAAACATATTAAGAGTGATGCTAAACGGCCCAACTTTAGTGACCCAACTTCGACCACACGCGTGAAAAGACATCAAAGACCCCCTAACTTTTAGCCTACAATGTTTCCTCCAAAGCACAAAATTAAATATGGAGAGGCTCTTCCTATTCCCAAGCATTGAGGTATGCGAAAATTAAATGTTGGTAGCTGAAGAGTCTTTGCAGTATATTTGTATTTCCATTGTATTTTATGTGTATACAAATTATTGTATTTTCTTAAAAACAAATACGGTATACGATTTAGTATACTTCCTCCTTATCAAACCAAGTCAAGTGAAAACTTTCTCCTTATCTAAAAATGGATTCAAACCAAGAAAATTTGATGGTACAAGAAAATATGAATCCAAATGAACATAACACAAATACAACAACCACGAATATCCTGTATGTCTTGAAAGTTCTAAAATTATAACATTTTTAAAACAAAACATAGACTTCTAAACCTACAAAAACATTTTGAAACGTGATTTTTAATGTCTTAAAGGTACTGATTATGTGAATTTGTGATGGTTTGTTAAGGTTCTAAATCTAGAAATACGATTTCTACTATAAATTTGGTATATATATATATATATATATATATATATATATATATATATATATATATATATATCAAATAAGAAAAACTAATACACAAAATTTAGTAAATTTATAAGTTCTAAATATTGAAAAAAAAATTAAAGTCTTCAACATTAGATAAATAATTAAAGCCCTAAATACTAGAAAAATAATTAAAGTCCCAAATACTAGGAAAATAATAAAATAGCTATTTTATCGTCTGTGAAATATATTGTTTAAGGGTAAAAAAGGCGAATGTCCTATGTGTCTTGAAAGTTCTAAAATTATAACATATTCAAACATAGACTTCTAAACCTACAAAAAATATTTTGAAACGTAATTTTTAATGTCTAGGAAACATGCTATGTACCTTCACAAGGTAGGGGTAATAAGGTCCGCGTACACACTACCCTCTCTAGATCCACTAGTGAAATTACACTGAGTTTTGTTGTTGTTGTTGTTGAAGTACTAATTATGTGAATTTTTTATGGCTTTTTAAGCTTCTAAACCTAGAAACACGAGTTCTTTTATAAATTGGTATATATTATATAAATCATATNGGGTATTGTTCCAATTGATTGAAAATATCAAAAGGAGTACAAAATTTAAATTT